AGAACGTAAAAGAAAGAGAGGAAGATCACAAACCAGATGGATATACTCAATCAGGGGGGTTATGGGGAAGGGCTTCTTGGTGATGTCTCATCCACAGGGTTGCCATGAGTCAGAACTGACTTGAGGGTGACTAACAACAACAAAACCAAAAGTCTAGTTAGGGGAATTTTAATTACCTCAATACTAAGAGGGGGTTGACTATAAGGACCTTTGAGTTCATTTCCCACATGTACACTGAGAGAAAGGAGGTCCAAAGAGATTGTGTTGAGGCAGAGTTCTTGAATTAAAGTATATTTTTATTAAACGGAAAATCACACAGCAATTCACTATCTCTCAGGGGGAAAGCAGATGAGAGCTTCCCAGATGCCCTGGGCCAGCGCGCCGCGGGGCCGCAGCCTCCGCACCTTGGCGCACCAGTGGCGTCCCTGGAAGGAGCGCTAAATCAGCGCTCCTTCCTCCTTAATTATGTATCTAAAAGCTTCGGGCGCACTTTGTCTTTTCCGCTGCAGCGTGTCCAGTCGCTGCAGCGGGAGGTTGTCCCTGGAGCGCCAGCCATGCGGAGGGCCGGCGGCTCCGAGGACGACCTCAGGGAGAGGAAGGAGCACCACGCGTGTGGCTGCTCCTCCTCTTCCTGGCCTCGGAGACTGCTCAATTAGCCATCTGCCGAGGCCCTCACTCATTGAAGGCTCAGGAAATCATGGGTTATTTCTTCTTGTTCCTGTATTATGTTCTTTTTTTTTTCTCCATAGAGCATCCCTGCCCTTGGTTTGAATTTGGCTTTAACTTCTCAGATTGTTTGATAACTGTCTCTTGTTCTTCCATTTTTGTTGTTGTCTTCTATTTCTCTGCATTTGTCATTGTAGTATTTCTCCTTATTTTTTTCTCCAAATTTTATTTATAAAACCAAAATATATTCATATCTTATACAATTCAATACAAAGAAGCTTCACATTATAATATAGTCTATCTAGTATAATACTTCCTAAAGTAGCTTGACTGCAAATACCTTTTGTATATACTTCTAATATTTAACTCCAAAATTTATAAAAAATGAAAACTCCCACTTATGATGTAATCCGATAGATATTTTCTTATATTCAACATATATTAATATAACATCCAATTATCTCCAAATTCTTGCATCATCTTTAAACTTATATCTTATTTCCTCCTAGTTAACTTGCTATCCACTCCATTTTATTTTAATATATTCCTTAACTGGAAATCACTCTGTGTCTATTTTATCTAAATCCTTTTGGTTTAATAAAGCTGTTAGTCTATCCATATCTTGCATTTCTCCTTATCCCTGTGTGTCAGACGTTGGACAATTGTTTTATTGCATGAAGTGTTTCATTTGTCATCCATTGTTTCGTACCTTTCTTTTTGACCACTGTTATGTTTTCTTGCATTCATCCTTAATTATGTATTTGACTTCTGTTCACAGTTCTCAGGTTTCCAGTTGATTATACTCAATAGTTCAAATCTCATTCTTACATTGTCCTTGAATTCATCTGAAATGTTATTCAGGTCATATTTTGGTATAATGATGGTTTTTGCTTCCTTCTTCAGTTTAACTCTGATTTTTGTTATGAGTAGTTCGTGGTCTGTGCCACAATCAGCTCCTGGTCTGGTTTTGGCCACAAGGCTAGAATTTCTCCATCTTTTATTTGGTTTTTGTGTTTACCATCTGGTGATGTCCAGGTGTATAGTCTCCTAACAGGTTGTATAAAGCTGGTATTTGTCTCATAAAATTCTATCAGACACTCTCCCGCTTTATTTCTTGTGTCTAATCAAAATTTTCCTACTGTTTTTTATTCTTCTTTGTTGCCAACTTTAGCTTTCAAGTCATTTGAAATCTTAGGATGGTATGTTGTCAATTTCTTCCTGGACTGCATCATAGTATCTCTAAATTTCCTCTTCATCTGCATCTGTGGTTGGTGCATATACCTAGATTATTGTGATGTTTATAGGTTTACCCTTAAGCCTTATTGATAATATATAGTCTCACTTTGAGTTGTATCCTTTGAATGCTGCAGCTATATCATTCCTTAGTATGAAAGCCACCAAATTTCTTCTTGTTTTTACATTTCCTGGATAGATTACTGTATAGTTG